ATCCTCTACGCTTCCAACCACTCCATCCCCCACAGTTTTACCTATTGTACCACTCACCCCTCCCTCCTAGATTGTAAGCTCCAAGGAGCAGGGTCCTCAATTCCCTCTTGTATTGAACTGTATTGTTACTGTATTGTCTCCCACTATAATGTAAAGTGCAGAGCAAACCGTTGGCGCTATATAAATCCTGTATAATAATAATGTGCATTGCAGCGAGAGAACAGCCCGTGGAACGCACCAACTGTTAGTGTGTTTGCAAAACACACGAACACCTGATGTTCGACTCAAACATCAAGGGCATTCCTATGCATGAGTACTCTCAATACCTGAAACCGATACCTTTGCGGTGTGATTTGAGCCTATACAAAATGAATGGGCTCAAATCACACTGCAAAGAATCACATGTGATTTAAATAGCAATGTGTTGCGATTTCTGTCCGAATCACATGTAGTTTCCCTGTGGGTGTAGAGCGATTTGCAGTGCAATTTGAGCCATACAAAATGAATGGCTCAAATCGCACTGTAAATCGCATCACACCTGCATGGATTTGGACAGGACCGCATTCCTGTTCAAATCACAGACAAAAAGGAAAAGAGCGTACAGCCTCCTAGTGTAGCCAATAACCTTTATTAAATAAATATAACACAAGTAAAGTTGCACTCAGAATTGTAGGTGTATATAGAGTAATAATGCATATCATCCCATGTGCTGACATAGTGGTGTGAAAGTCCCACTGCCTGGATGACGGTTCGGCCAACTGCTCCACATATGGCTGTAACATTGAACACACACACACACACACTAGCAATTACAGTGGTCTATTGTCTGACAGCTTGTGGGAGTCTTTGTGTGCATAGAGGCACACTGGGTCAATGGAGTGGGTGGCCGAACTGTTATCCTGGCAGTGAGGAGAACAGAGTGGGACTTTTACAGCGTGATGTCAACATATGAGATGATATGCCTTATTATATACACCTACCATTGTGATCCAAATCACATGCGGTTTCCTTGTAGGTGCGTGTGATTTGAGCCATTCATTTTGTAAGACTCAAATTGCATTGCAAATCGCACCCACATGGAAACCACATGTGATTCAGACAGGAATCATACTGCATTCCTGTTCAAATGACATTTATTTTGTATGGGCTGAAATCCACCTTAAAGGAATCGGTACTCGGTATCGACAAATAAAAGTATCAGTACTCGTATTAGCCACTGAAAAACTGGTATCAGTACAACCCTAGTAGAAAGTGATCAGAGCTTAGAGAAACAATGAAGTATTCAGAAATAATCAGACATACTTTGGTGAGGTAAGCTAAAAGGACCTAGAGAGTAACCATGTCTATTTGAAAGTATTACATATTTGGAAATGTTAATGCTATGTGGACCAGTTTGTGCTGGTTCTCCAGGCAAATCCAGGGCTTCCAGGCAACTTTGATTTTACTATGAAGGGCCTATTTTATATGTACGAGTAATACCTGTCTAATATTTAAAGCAATTTTACTTAATTTTTTATAATGCCATTTTTAACTTGTATTTGCTGTCTTTCTTTAAATTTGCTTTTAAGGCTGGAATGGTATTACATTATCGGGCACCTCTTCTGCCTCGGCAGAAATCTTTTATCCCACCACAGATTCCAAATCCATTTGTCCATGAAATCAATCTGAAATTCACTGATAAGATACGGGTAAGAACAGATTGTGAATTAATACTTTTGATATATAAATTTTTGACTTTGGGGCATTCCAACAAACTTTGCATTTATGTTCACTTTATCAAACCCAGAGTACATCCATTTATCTGAATGCAGGTAGCTTAATTAGACAAATTGCATACAAGATGACTTTTATTATGTTTTCTTGTCTATTTTTTTTTTCTTCCCAGTAATGGTCATGTTGATATTAGATATTTGATTATGTACAGTATATTCAGGTTCATATTCTGAAAGTATGAATTTTGTATCATGGACTTTTTTTTCTCTATTTGAATATTTAATATATTTATTCTTATACAGTACATAACTTTAGTTTTTAATTTCTTTAATAAAACTTAATGACTTATGGCAGTTGCGGGGTGGGGGTAATGACAAAGGAATTGATATATTTACATAAGAACATACACAGCTATATAAAGAGATTGGTTTAACACTTAATGATTGGTTTAACACTTAATGATTGTACAGTATATATACAGTATTGGAACTTGCCTTTTGTGTGCCTTGTGTGTTTATGCAGATACACATGAAATGCTTTTCCTAGTATTTTTATTGTGGTTTGATGTTTGTTAAATTTGTAATAAATTGTGTACATTTTGGTTATATGGTAGCAATGTTATATGGTTAGCAATGGGGATGGGGGATACAGACAGAACAAATAGCAGAAGTTACAACTTCCCTTAAAAAAGGCCGTTATTTTTTTCTGAATTTTAGAGAGGGTAATATTGTGTTATTTTTTTGTTTCATTTTAAGAATATAAAGCATTGTTTTTAGGCATGGTTAAATATACCAATTAGGGGTCAAGGGATTGAAATGTATATGTTTTTCTGATTGTTAACAGAGACCAAGATCAGCCTGATTTATGAAGTTTGAGTGGTAGTTATGTGCAAATGTATTAAAAGCGCTCATTAGCTGGAACATTGCAGGCTCCAGTTTTCATCATAAGGCCTTGAAATGCTGATTTAGTGCATGTCTTCCAATGGCAAATTTCAGATAGTTGCACTAAATGTATTGTAAAATGATTTTCAATGATTTGGTATTGGTTAACCCTTTGAGGACCATAAGATTACAGAACGCCAAAAGAATCAATTTTTTGTTTTTAAAGTTTGTACGCTTCAGTTGCTGTAACTAAGCCATTTCATGAAATAATTGGCAAAAAGCTAGATCCATTTGTTGATAAGAACTAATATTTTGACTCAAACCAAAAAAAAAAAAAAGTATTTTAAGTTCTTAATCAGATGATACAGGCAATTAAAAACATGGGACAAATATGTCCCTTGATCCTCAAAGGGTTAATGCTGGAAATGCAATTCACATTGCAGCTTTCCAGACATCACTGAAACTGAACTGTTTCCTTTTAAGTATATTTAGCACTAGCAGTAATATACTGTACATTGTGGAAGTAGCTTTAGAACAGGAATAGGTTAACTTTTAAAGCTACAGTATTTTCTCAGAGGTATAGAAAATGTTTTCGATATGAAACTCAACAAAGGACCTGATATGCAGTTATTACAAAAATTCCTTTTAATTAATCTTTTAAGCTGATCATGTGACAAAACCATTCAACCACAAGTACTGTTATCCAAAGATATCTATATATACAGTGGGGCAAAAAAGTATTTAGTCAGCCACCAATTGTGCAAGTTCTCCCACTTAAAAAGATGAGAGAGGCCTGTAATTGGCATCATAGGTAGACCTCAACTATGAGAGACAAAATGAGAAAAAAAATCCAGACAATCACATTGGCTGATTTGGAAAGAATTTATTTGCAAATTATGGTGGAAAATAAGTATTTGATCAATATCAAAAGTTCATCTCAATACTTTGTTATATATCCTTTGTTGGCAATGACAGAGGTCAAACGTTTCCTGTAAGTCTTCACAAAGTTGGTACACACTGTTGCTGGTATGTTGGCCCATTCCTCCATGCAGATCTCCTCTAGTGCAGTGATGTTTTGGGACTGTCGCTGGGCAACATGGATTTTCAACTCCCTCCAAAGGTTTTCTATGGGGTTGAGATCTGGAGACTGGCTAGGCCACTCCAGGACCTTGAAATGCTTCTTACGAAGCCACTCCTTCGTTGCCGGGCGGTATGTTTGGGATCATTGTCATGTTGGAAGACCCAGCCACGTTTCATCTTCAATGCCCTTGCTGATGGAAGGAGGTTTGCACTCAAAATCTCACGATACATGGCCCCATTCATTCTGTCCTGTACATGGATCAGTCGTCCTGGTCCCTTTGCGGAGAAACTGCCCCAAACATGATGTTGCCATCCCCCATGCTTCACAGTAGGTATGATGTTATTTGGATGTAACTCAGCATTCTCTGTCCTCCAAACACGACGAATTGTGTTTCTACCAAACAGTTCTATTTTGGTTTCGTCTGACCATATGACATTCTCCCAATCCTCTTCTGGATCATCCAAATTCTCTCTAGCAAACTTCAGATGGGCCCGGACATGTACTGGCTTAAGCAGGGGGACACGTCTGGCACTGCAGAATCTGAGTCCCTGGTGGCGTAGTGTGTTACTGATGGTAGCCTTTGTTACGTTGGTCCCAGCTCTCTGCAGGTCATTCACTAGGTGCCCCCGTGTGGTCCTGGGATTTTTGCTCACCGTTCTTGTGATCATTTTGACCCCATGGGGTGGGATATTGCGTGGAGCCCCAGATCGAAGGAGATTATCAGTGGTCTTGTATGTCTTCCATTTTCTAATTATTGCTCCCACAGTTGATTTGTTCACACCAAGCTGCTTGCCAATTGCAGATTCAGTCTTCCCAGCCTGGTGCAGGTCTACAATTTTGTTTCTGGTGTCCTTCGATAGCTCTTTGGTCTTCACCATAGTGGAGTTTGGAGTGTGACTGTTTGAACTTGTTATCAGTATAAAAGACACCTGTCCACAACCTCAAACAGGTGCCATTGATACAGGTAATGAGTGCAGGACAGAGGAGCCTCTTAAAGAAGAAAGGTACAGGTCTGTGAGAGCCAGAAATCTTGCTTGTTTGTAGGTAACCAAATACTTATTTTCCACTATAATTTACAAATACATTCTTTCCAAATCAGCCAATGTGATTGTCTGGATTTTTTTTCTCATTTTGTCTCTCATAGTTGAGGTCTACCTATGATGCCAAATACTGGCGCCTCTCATCTTTTTAAGTGGGAGAACTTGCACAATTGGTGGCTGACTAAATACTTTTTTGCCCCACTGTAACTACCTGAGAGATTGTTCAGTTGTGTATTTCCATTATCTTGAGACTTTTAATAATTGCTTTCATTGCATGACTCTTTATTTCAGATGCTGCTATGTGGTCTTTTCATTTTACCATTAAGGATAATTTTTTTCCTGATTACCTTAATAATGGCATGGTTGGTTGCATCCTTCACTACCTGCTGTATTTCGAAATTGGGTTTGGAGCCACTAAAGGGATGGAGAAGGTATGTGTATATCAAGGAAAATACAATGGCATTAGATGGGCAGTTGTTTATTGTTTGATATACTAAGGTGTACATTCTATTTGAGGCACTTATGTGGCAGCTTGGATCTTATTTAACAGGTAGGATTGGGAGACAGAGGTGTGGGCAGAGAGGATTCGGTAGTGGTGCAGCACAAAATGATTTATCTGAATAAAAATAAACATTCTCAGGGCTTTTAAGGCATACCAATGAAGCCCTTTCCTCTTATACACTTGTGAAACATTTTGGGGCATTCTTCTGCCAGGTGATTATACAGAGAAGTCACAACATAGAGGATTGGTGACTCACGCTCTTCTACTGAGTAGTCTGGTTTCTTAAGAGACAAGAGTAATCTCTGACTAGGTCACAGTGGTGTAATAAAGGCACTGATGCACTGTCTGCCCTATGTACTGCAAAATATGTAGTACAAAACTGGCATTTACATTGTTGGCTTCAAACATATGTGCCGATAGAGCCATCTAAGAAAATACAGTATGGCCCCCAGGGTACAATGCTCTGTGATCACACGCAAGTTCATTGCCAAGCATAGTGGGACCAAGCTCACTGCAGCTCTGGCATAAATCATTTCAAAACATGTGCTCCCAAAAAGCATCCCACCAACTGCTCCTTCAAATATCACCAGCATCATCTAAAATACAACACCAGTGGGCTCACTTGATTCCCCAGAGGGCAATAAAAATTAAACAAATAAACAACTTTTGGCAAAACAAGGAATGGTACATACGCCAACCTGTATCATAAAATCATGTAAATATAAAAAAGGGACCACAGATTAGATTCTTGAGCACAGCCTAACCACGTTAACAGTGCGAGCCAGTAATCAATGTCCCTAGTAGCAAGCCAGGGTATGAATAAGTTATACTAGAGTTCCCTAGTCAGTTGCAACATGGCATATTTAAACACAGGGATGCCAAGAGCCCAGCAGGTTTATTACCCATAGGTCATAGCCCGTAGATGTGGATGCCGGGTGGGGTCAACAGGTGCAACCCCTGGTGTCTTCGTTCTGTTCTTGGGCATGATAAAGAGATCACTACAGAGCATCCAGGTGAACCTAACTTTGAAGCCTTAGTGATCAAATACACTGGAAAAGTGTCCCCAAACAGTCCAGACTATGTAGCAACCATCTAATTCCCTGAGAATATATGCAGAAGAGAAGTACCATGAGCTGAGGCACCCCAGTTTTGCAAATGTTTAAAGCTTTAGAAAGAAGGTCCATATAAACAAATAAACCCATACATAAGTGTAATTAAAGTAATGTGGCAAATGAACCAAGAAAAGAGAACTGACCTTGCACTGTACCACTCAAGGCGAGAGAAGACTCATTTGACCACTTGTGTCCCTCACTCAAGGAACTGTGCACATTCAAAACTGAGTTATAGTGCATACAAAGACTTGATTTACTAAAAGTGGAGAGTGCAAAATCTGGTGCAGTTCTGCACAGAAACCAATCAGCTTCTAGGTTTTTTAGTCAAAACTTAACCGCTTCCCGTCCGCCCTATAGCAGTAATACTGCTACAGGGCGGCACAGGTGCGCAAAATCACGTATATATACGTGATTTTGCATCTCTGAGAGGGGGCTGCATGCGCACCCTACCCATGCCACTATTTGCAGCCTCAGCTGTCAATCACCGGGTCCCAGCCGGTGATTACTCGCTGGTGATCGAGGAGGATTACCCAACAGAAGAAGAGAACTGTAAGTAAACATTACAGTTCTCTCCCCTGTCAGCTCCTGCAAACTGCTATGCATGGCTTTGCATAGCAGAGCCATGCATAGCATTGTGCTTACAGTGAAGCACACACACACACACAGCACACAGTTAACCCTTTGATTGCCCCAGATGTTAACCCCCTTCCTGCCCAGTGCTATTAGTACAGTGTCAGTGCTTTTTATTAGCACTGATCACTGTATTGGTGTCACTGGGGATGTCAGTGACACCAGGTCAGTTCCCCCCAGTATCAGAATGCCTGCTGCAGTCCCGCTATAAGTCACTGATCGCCACCATTACTAGTAAAAAGTAAAAAAAAAAAATCCCAGTATATATACTGCCATTTGTAAACTCTATAACTTTCACGTAAACCAACTGATTTACATGTATTGGGATTTTTTTTTTTTTTAGCAAAGACATGTAGCAGAATACATTTTGGCCTAAATTTATGATGAAATTAGATTTTTTTTTAAATTTTTTACTGGACATGTTTAATAGAAAAAAGTCAAACGTATTGTTTTTTTTCCTCAAAATTGTCGCTTTTTTTATAGCCCGAAAAATTAAAAATGTACAGGCGATCAAATACCACCGAAAGAAAGTTCTATTCGTGGGAAAAAAAGGATGTAAATTTAATTTGGGTGCAGCGCTGCATGACTGCGCAATTGTCAGTTAAAGTAACGCAGCACCGTAACGCAAAAAATGGCCTGGTCAGGAAGGCGGGTAAATCCTCTGGAGGGTGAGTGAGCTGAAGTTAGACATTGATTGGCTGCTGTGCACAGCTACACCAGATTTTGCACTCTCCAGTTTTAGTAAATCAACCCCAGAATGTCTAACTATATGACTAGTTATCACTGTAAAAATGATTATACACGAGTACAATTTTGTTCAATAATTTTCATTGTAAGAACTTTTGTAAATTTTTCTAATCATTAGTAGGGTCACATCGACATTCGTTTTTGACCAAGATGAGGAAATTTGAAGGAGCAGGATGGAAATGTTTCTCAAATTAATTTCTAGCGGTATATGTGGTGTATGTGGCTTCCCGGTCAGTAATAACTAAGGAACCTACAATGTATGTAAAAAAAAAATTTGCAAAAACTTGGGTTGCATTCTTTTTAACAGACAGAACTTTCATAGCAAATGTTCTAATGATATATTCCTCTCAAGGAACCACCAAAGAGAGTAGCTGAGAAATACCATCAAAAACCAAGTACAAGGGTCTCCACATTTGGTGGGACAGGTATGGGCACTAAGAAGACAAGTAGCTGAAAGATCTAACCACAGCTAAATATTGGGACAACCTGTTCATAGATAAATATTGAGTAAGGTTGAGGATTGCCAGTATTTTTGGACCCAGAATCAGCTGTGGGAAGGATGCTGTTCCTATGGTGAAGAGGAATGTGACCCATTGTGAGTCACCCTGTCTGCAGGATGGCATGCTTCCAAATCCTCCACTGCAAGACCCTAGCCAAAAAGACACTTCTCGGCTTCCTTGGTGTATGTGAGTTCATAGATTTCCATTGATATATGAACATCAGCTTAAACTCTAGCTTTGTTAGATATTTTTTCACTGAAGAAGCTACAGTTGCAAGAAAAAGTATGTGAAGCCGTTGGGATTACGTGGAGTTTTGCATGAATTGGGCATAAAATGTGCTCTGAACGTCATCTAAGTCACAACAATAGAAGAACACGGTCTGCTCTCCCTAGAGATCCCTAGATATCAGAGTTCATAACTAATGTCAAAAGCAAAGATATAGCACTATAGAAAGGAACATATTGTGAAGCATAATGATTTTTTATACAGAACAGATGTTGTAAAAATAGAAATTAATAAAAAATATTACTCGTATAAGGTAAGAATGGCCAACTTTTTCCATATTTTGCTCCTGTTGCTTTATATCTACAGCGGTTAACATACAAAATGCCTGTAGATGTCAGTTCATTCATGTTTTCAAAAACTGACAATCCTTTGACAGTGTACACCTTTCCTCTATATAGTTTTAACAAATGAATAACTTCTCCAGCTGACCAAGGTCTTTATTCCAAGACCAAACTTAACAGCTTAAGCATGCATTGGTTTATTTGATAATAACTATAACCAAGTAACCTACTTAAATAGGTTTTGAAACAATATATGTGTTTTTTTTTTTCTGCTACACTGTTTTACTACATTCCTGCTCATGTTATTATGTTAAAAGACATTATATTATACATATAATATAATTTAAATGCCAACACTGTTGCTCTGTATACAAGATTCAATACAAACCAGACCATCAACTAGTGTAAAGTGCAAATAATGATAAATGAATATAAAGTGCAAATAATGTCCGGTGTATAATATACCACAATTACCGTGTATAAGATGAATACCACATGCGAACAACTCATAATAATTCCATTAGTGCAACATTTCACCTGAAGTGCCTCCAGTGCATCCCTCCACCATGTCACACACAGCCACTTACTAGAGCTAGAGACCACAAGTTATAGGTTGTCTATACAAGCTCAGAGGTATGTGGATCTTGCATCACACAATTTTCACAATCTGAAGAATCACAGAGTGCACCCACAGGAAATGGAGCTGTATATCTCCTCCACTCAAATGGTGTCAAGCCGACAAGGGAAAAAGATGACAGCGTCCAACAGTGCATGATGATGTCACCACAGGCTCCGTCTGAGCTTAAAAATGGTCATTTTATTTATTTATTTCAGGTACTTATATAGCGCCGTCAATTTACACAGTGCTTTACATACTTATATTGTACACTTACATCAGTCCCTAACCCTCACATTCATACATACACATACTACGGCCAATTTAGACAGGAGCCAATTTACCTATCAGCATGTCTTTGGAGCGTGAATGGGAACCGGAGTACCCAGAGGAAACACACGCAGACACAGGGAGAACATAAAACTCCAGGAAGGTGGTGCTGTGGTTGGGATTCGAACCAGCGACCCTAGTACTGCCAGGCGGAAGTGTTGACCGTTTAGCAACTGTGCTGCCCATGTTAAAGAGAAATACTGTGCTTTAGAAAATATAAGGCAGTGGGGACACTATCAACATTCCAGCACTACAAACAATGCAATAAAAAATGTAAGAGCATGCTCAGGTCTGCGAAAATAGACCATGAGAGACACATATCTGAAGAGAGTAATAAGAATCGCAAATTTGAAAAAAAAATGTAAAAAAATAGTAAAAAGGCAAAATCATGATTTCATAAAGGATAGTCCAGGGAAGTTGGTTACAAG